TCTGGCCCGGTCTGTATATTTCTTGTTTTGCTTTTTTTGTTTTGTTTGATTTTGTGTGTGTGGTGCGTTTTGTCGTCAAACGGAATCTATTAAAATAAATATATTCGCGTGAACCTCATGTCGAGATGTACATACAAACATATATTATATATACACATGCATATATATGTGAATACATAAAATTAAGAATTAGAAATTAAGAGAAAGCAATTGCAATTGCAATTTGCAATGAAATCTTTAAGCAAAAGTGCTAATATAATATAATATTACAGATTAAACCTAACTTAACGTAACTAAGGCGTTCAGCTTATCTATTATCTATAATCCAGGCCATTAGACTATACATCCTATAGAGCTCAATTATTTTTAACTATTTAATTATCTCTGAAGTATTTATACTTTTATACACGTTGGTGTCCTGCCTGCAATGAAATAAAATATGATCTCAATCAATTTTGCATTTCTACTAAAGCTGTAGTTATTTGCCTTTGTGTTCAGAACTTTGAACAGCGAGCTGTGACGCAAGTGTTTGTGCTTTGCGTGAATTTGCATCACAGCACCACCACAAGCCTGGGGTTCAACTATTAAGCCTCTGACGTAGACACCAAACGGCTATTTAAACTCACCTTTAAGTAACCGTGAAAAGGCTAACAGCTCTGCAGCTGATCGGGCTAGCTATCATCAACCGTTATCAGCGATCGAGCTGCTTTCCCAAGGGCAACTGGTCGTATGGGTGATTTCAAATCAATTCATATACTACATATAGCAGCTGTGCCAAGACTCTTAAGCCATATAGATATAGATATATGTGGCTATTCTCCTGCTGATTGTCTATGCCTGGGCTCAACTAGTCGTATGCGTGATATGCAGATACGCAGATGTGAAAAATCCCTGATAAACATAAACTGTGTAGCCACACGCCGCCAGCTGATAACGCGAATTAAAGACTTATTTCATAAACAAATACACATTTGCGGAGATATATACATATAAATATATGTATATTTCGTATTTTCAAGAGAGGCTGGTCGCATGCGTGATATTTAAATCACTTATGCAAATACATATATGAATTCACTATTTATATATATATTTTTTTTGTCTGGCAGCAGCAGTAGTCAAAAACAAATGAACATTAGCTAAAACGAAAAGTAAGTACATATATATGTATATGCATATGTATCTCTATTTGTTACTAGTCGTATACGTGATTTCAATCAACTATGCACTCTAGCATACATTTCTATACATTATAGCATCTCTAGCCATACCGATAAGCTAAGGCTAACATATTTCAAACATTTTTCAGTCAAGAATATTCATATGTGAGCACTCTCCTGACAGGCTGCATTCCCAAGGGCAACTAGTCGTATGCGTGATTACAATCAAACATGCAGGCAAATGTGATGTAGCTGTGGTCGAAATTCAAAATATATACGTATATAATAAGTTCGTCAGCCGATAATGCGTATAAACCATGTATATACAGTTACAAATATAAATATAATAATGTATGTACATATGTATATATTTATGTGTTTGTATATCTATATGAGTGCGCGTGACACACACACACTGTTTGGTTTTTGTATGTTTTGTTTTGTTTGTAGTAAATTTCCGTAGGTCCAGTTCGATGTCAGCGCCAGCCTGACTAACCAATCGCCGCGTTATCAGTTATCACCAATTGCCGCTGGCACGCGGCTCACTGGAGCTAATCACATTGTTCTCATGTGTCCGCAACGGCAGATAGTCGTGTGTCGGGCTAGATGGGCGACGATGCGATGTGGCACGGCTATCACCCAAGCAAGGTCAAGGCGCACTGGAAGCAATCCTCGTCTGCTGTTGCCAGCGCAATCAAGAGTAGCAGCACGCGTCTTTGTTTTGGTCTGGTGATGTTTTGCCTCTGATACCCTGTAAAGCTAGCGCAAGGGCGTGTATGATGCGCATACAATTATTTCCGGCTTTCCCTATTTCTAATATCCTTGAGGCGAGGCATTGCATTTATGATATTCATTAGCAATCAGTCAAGCACCATCAAGATGCCAGACAAATTCCATAGACTTAATGCGACTCTTCCCAGTAGCTTAGTTTGGGTACAAACGCAGCCGAACACCTCATCTTATTCCCCAGTTTTCTACAGGGTATCTACTTATGAATTCTCCCTAGTTATTTATAGCTCATAGTTTGTCGTTGTTGCTGTGGCCATGCAGACGCATTCGGCATTGATACGGAACTTATTCACCTGTTATATAGCGAAATACATTCTTATCTTGACTGTATTACTTAACGCATAAATGATAGTTTTTTAATTTTTATTCCTATGGTAAATTGGACATCAGAAAGAAGCGAGTTTTTTTTTCATTTTGTTATAATTTTTTTTTCTTTTCTTTTTCCTCATTTATGTATTCAGCAATCTATTTACTAAGAGAGAAGTTGGCTTAAACTATGAGGTAATGGATGTGCACCTTTTACCTGAAGAATAATGGAAGCTGCTTAGCTGGTGGCCTAGTAACATTATATATAAAATTTGATGCCTATTCTATGGTGAATTACATATGTATGTGTATATTTTTTTATTTAAGCATTTAACAATCTATTTACTTAGGGAGAAGTCGGCTAAGACCTTACTTAACTAAAGATTGATGGAAAATGCTTAGCTAAATAAGAAATGACTTGTGAATTTTTATTTTTATTTTTATTTATTTTTATAAAATCATTATCATGCCATCTAAATGCAATCACAGCAGAAACGTGCCTAGAAATTATTGTGATGGACCATGGCCTCAGAGAGCTGCGATAGTTTGTCGCTATTATAATTTTCTTAATTATAAACATAATAATGAGCGATGCTGATGCTGATGATAATGCTAGGCTAAAGTCCCTCAACATGAAATTTGAATTGTGAACTCGAGGTGAACGAATTTTTGCCAACAAATATTCTCTTATTATTAATGTTTTTTTTTTTTTTTTTTTTTTTTTTTTTTTTTTTTTTTTTTGTTTGTTTCATTTGATGTA